CAAAAGGAACACCTATGTGAGAATGCTGTTCATTTACTACAGCTCAACATTCAACACCATAGTGCCCTCAAAGCTCATCACTAAGCTAAGGACCCTGGGACTAAACACCTCCCTCTGCAACTGGATCCTGGACTTCCTGATGGGCCGCCCCCAGGTGGTAAGGGTAGGCAACAACACATCTGCCACGCTGATCCTCAACACGGGGACCCCTCAGGGGTGCGTGCTTAGTCCCCTCCTGTACTCCCTGTTCACCCATGACTGCGTGGCCGTGCACGACTCCAACACCATCATTAAGTTTGTTGGCGACACAACAGTGGTAGGCCTGATCACAGATAACAATGAGACAGCTTATAGGGAGGAGGTCAGAGACCTAGCAGTGTGGTGCCAGGACAACAACCTCTCCCTCAATGTGAGCAAGACAAAGGAGATGATCGTGGACTACAGGAAAAGGCGGGCCGAACAGGCCCCCATTAACATTGACGGGGCTGCAGTGGAGCGGGTCGAGAGTTAAGTTCCTTGGTGTCCAAACACACCAAGACAGTCGTAAAGAGGGCACGACAACACCTTTTTCCCCTCAGGAGACTTGGCATGGGTCCCCAGATCCTCAAAAAGTTATACAGCTGCACCATCGAGAGCATCCTGACTGGTTGCATCACTGCATCACCCCCCCCCCCCCCCCCCCCCCCCCTTTGTTTTTACACTGCTGCTACTCGCTGTTTATTATCTATGCATAGTTACTTTACCCCTACCTACATGTACAAATTACCTCGACTAACCACATTGACTCGGTACCGGTACCCCCTGTATATAGCCTCGTTATTGTTATTTTATTACTTTTTATTATTTTTACTTTAGTTTATTTAGTAAATATTTTCTTAACTCTATTTCTTGAACTGCATTGTTGGTTAAGGGCTTGTAAGCTCCTCAACAGCTTCTACCCCCCAGGCCATAAAACTCCTGAACAGCTAATCATGGCTACCCGGACTATTTGCTACTCTGTTAATTATTTATGCATAGTCACTTTAACTCTACCCACATGTACATATTACTTCAACTACCTCAACTAGCCGGTGCCCCCGCACATTGACTCTGCACCGGTACCCCCCTGTATATATAGCCTCCCTACTGTTATTTTATTTTACTTCTGCTCTTTTTTTCTCAACACTTTTTTTGTTGTTTTATTTTACTTTTTCATAAAAAAATAAATGCACTGTTGGTTAAGGGCTGTAAGTAAGCATTTCACTGTAATGTCTGCACCTGTTGTATTCGGCGCATGTGGCCAATACAATTTGATTTGATTTGATTTCACAGTAAGGTCTAAACCTGTTGTATTCAGCGCATGTGACAAATAAAAATTGATCTCTCTCTCTCTCTCTCTCTCTGTGGACTGTAGGCTACCTAATGGTTGAATTAATGTTGTTTCAATGTAATTTGTCAACCTATTTTGACGTATTGTGGAATCAATGTGGAAAATATATTGGATTTGAAAAAACGTATCAACCAGTACTTTTTTCATCTCATTTCAACCAGCATGGTTAACATTGAAATGAGGGCAAACGTTAAACTAAAATACAATGACTTAACCTGACTAACAGGTTATTACATCAATCTAATTTCAACATAATCATCAGAACTATGTAAATGTATACGTTGAAAATTGCATTAAAAATGCCATGTACATTTTTTTAATAAAAATGCTGTTGAATTAGTGAGGTCAGGCGATTAGGCCTGGCTTGCAGTCGGCGTTCCAATTCATGCCAAAGGTGTTCGATGGGGTTGAGGTCAGGGCTCTGTGCAGGCCAGTCAAGTTCTTCCACACTGATCACAACAAACCATTTCTGTATGGACCTCGCTTTGTGCACAGGGGCATTGTCATGCTGAAACAGGAAAGGGCCTTCCCTTCCTGTAGCGTTAAGATTTTCCTTCACTGGAACTAAGGGGCCTAGCCCGAATCATGAAAAACAGCCCCAGACCATTATTTCTCCTCCACCAAACTTTACACTATGCATTGGGGCAGGTAGCGTTCTCCTTTCATCCGATTTGTCAGTCGGACTGCCAGATGGTGAAGCGTGATTCATCACTCCAGGAATCTTCTGTGCGGCTGCTTGGCCATGGAAACCGATTTTATGAAGCTCCCGACAAACAGTTGTTGTGCTGACGTTGCTTCCAGAGGCAGTTTGGAACTCGGTAGTGAGTGTTACAACAGAGGACAGACAACGTATTGTAAAGCTCGCAGCCCTGTCGAAAGCGTTCCACAGGGATGCTGGCCCATGTTAACGCCAATGCTTCCCACAGTTGTGTCAAATTGGCTGGATGTCATTTGGGTGGTGGACCATTCTTGATACACACAGGAAACTGTTGAGCGTGAAAAACCCAGCAGAGTTGCAGCTTTTGAAACAAACCGGTGCTCCTGGCACCTCCTACCATACCCCGTTCAAAGGCACTTAAATATTTTGTCTTGCCCATTCACCCTCTGAATGGCACACATACACAATCCATATCTCAATTGTCTGAAGGCTTAAAAATCCTTCTTTAACCTGTCTCCTCCCCTTCATCTGCACTGATTTGAAGTGGATTTAACAAGTGACATCAATAGCTTTCACCTGGATTCACCTGGTCAGTCTGTCTTGGAAAGAGCAGGTGTTCATAATGTTTTGTCCACTCAGTGTATATTGAATATAGGATAAAAAAATATGTTAAACATTTCTATGTGTAATTTAACGCAATTTAAATGTATACGTTGTTCTGATTATCATGTTGAAATTAGATTGATGTAATAACCTGTTAGGTTAAATCAATGTATTTAAGTTTAAGCTTTACCCTAATTTCAATGTTTACAACGCTGGCTGAAATGAGATGAAAACAGAACTGGTAGACTACTTTTTTCAAATCCAATGTATTTCGCACGTTGATTCCACATCACAATCCGTTGACACATTTATGTTGAAACAACTTTGATTCCACCAGTGGGTATGTTCTCTCTGTAGCTGAAGAGAAGCCTGTTTTCAGGGCAGCTTCTTCCTGACCTGCTGCATCTCTGATGTGCAGCTGTACCGTGACAAAACCACGTCTCTTCTTTCATCTCTGTCTTTGTGACGCAAACGTGCTATCTATAACACCTTTTGTTCCACAGATGCAAGCTGTACACTAAGAGTACAGGCCCACGCTAACACACACACACACACACACACACACACACAGTGTTTGACATTAGTTATGGCACGTCTGCAATTTTAATTAAAGAACGCCATTATGCCTTTAAATATGAACAAAATGCTAACGAAAACAAAATGGGAGGTACTTAGGCCAGGTCAATGATGTAAAATGAATAGCTAGCTCCACTGCTAACCTCTCGGTCTTTCTTTCTAATCGATCTTCGGGATTTATGGTCCAAGTCATCATTAGCAGTCCATTCCAACAGCGTCGCTCAGAGTGCGCTAGAGCGTTCAGCCCGCTGGTTGGTTTATGTCATTAACATAGCAGCGTTGGGACAGCATGGCTGACTGTAGGCTAGGTCAGGCCAGGCTTTGGCAGGCCTGCTGTCTATTCTGCTGACTTGTATGGCTTGTAACCATCATAGATACATGTTGACAGACTCCAAGCCGCCATAGATACATGTTGACAGACTCCAAGCCGCCACAGATACATGTTGACAGACTCCAAGCTGGTAAACACAATACCTGCCATGTCCTGGGTTAAAAAATAGACAGAGCAAAACTGACAAAGATCAAAGCCTCATTAGTTATTCATACAGACAGTATAATCATTGCTTTCAAAACAGCTACGGCATGAAAAAGAGCTCCCATATAAAACCAATCTTAAGTCCTGTGTGAGTGTGTTGTCTTGGGTCTGCTTGCCCATTTAGTTTCGTCTCAGTGAGAGCCCTTTCACAAGTCTATTATGGGTGTTCTGTGGTGGCTTCAAATGAATGCTTTTGATCCACCGTAGAGTAGAAAGGTTTCTGTTTCTGAAGAAGTCCATTGATGATTGGTTAAGCATCAAACCCTGGTGAGACCACAGCCCTGTGTTGGGCCTACAGAGATACAACTACACTAGAGGTGACACAGTGATGGCTCTCTCTGAAGGGGACACTGTCACTGTGCCACAGAGCTGTCACCCTCTCTGGTCTGTCTCTGTCTGGTAGATCAGCAGGAGGGTGGCTAGAGCTGGCCGCGACAGCCCCACTTGTCCATGGCACTCATGACAATGTCAACTCCACTGAAGAGAAGAGGCAAGCCTTTGTGTCTGAGGAGTGTGTGTGTGTGTGTGTGTGTGTGTTTGTGAGTGTCCGCTATTCCGTGACAGCTGCCCAATGCTCAAAAACAGGCGACGGAAAAGTCTGGAATGTAACTGGCTTTGAAGTCTTTCAGTCTCTCCATTCTTCCTCTGGTCGACTGAGCTGAAGGCGGAGAGGGTGGGGGTTAGAAACAAGCCCCTTCCGCTCTCATCTGCCCCAGTAAGAACCATTATTCACTATGAAAATGGCCCCGTTGAACTCCACGTCCACCTAGAACCTACAACAGAGAATGCTGCCGTTAAAATTCCAGGCATTCCTCCAAATGTACCACCTGAAAGGACAGGACACTGTGGCTGCTGGTTTTATGGTTTGGGACGTGCCATCCTTGAGAGGTCACGGTGTAATGAACCTCTGGTTTTAAAGGGGGTTTACATAATACCACTGTAGACGTGACTTTCACTCTGGGGAAGATCAATATGATGAAATAGAAAATGGACAGAAAGTACGGCCAACTGGAGTTCAAATAACGGTTGCTTTTTGAGTAAGAAGTTAGTGAGAATTGATTTCTGACATAACAGTTCCCTACATTCAGCATCTCTTAAGACAATGAAGAAAAACACATTGGTCCCTCTAGTCTGGACTATACTGTACTTGTCAATGACCCACAGCTTTGAACACATTCAGTCCCGACTCCTTCACTTTAGTGTTACAGTTAGTCTACCCTCTTTGGTGACTGACACACACACACTCACCAAGTCTGAGTTCACAGGGGCGTCTCCCTCTTGTTTAAGGCAGCGCTGGTGGGCCCTTCAAACTGCAGCTTGATGGCCTGTTTCAGGTTGAGCTGGGGGTCCGTGGTCGTCATGACCACCGTGGAGTCAGCAGATAAAGCAGTAGTGGGGGATATGGACATCTTCTGGTTCTCCTCCCATGTCCCTCTCTGGGCAGGGCTCTGGAGCTGGTAGGGGTAGCCCATAGGGGGACTGTCCCTGTTTTTGGGGCCATCTTGTCCAGGCGTCACCCCTAGAGAAGCCATGACAGAGTTCCACCTCCCCCCTCCGTATTGGGGCCTCTCCTCCTGGATCAGGCTTGGGGGGTTGTGTTTACTGGGATAGTCGAACCCTGCTGGGTAGCCTTTGTAAGGCTGTTCAGAGTCATGCACCATGGCCGTGACTGTGCAGAGGGTGGTTGGAGGAGGACTGGCCTTAGGGCACCGGGCCCTGCGGCTGCTGCCGTGCAGGCTGCCATGAGCGGAGCCGGGCGGGGGCAGGGTGGAGTGGCGGGAGCGGCTGCGGGGGAGGGAGTGCTGCTGGATCTGCTGGGTGAAGGAGAGGCTGTCAGCGGGGACGGTCTGCACCGTGGCCTGGGAGTGGGCTGTGGAGGAGGATGTCTGGGAGCTCTGGATGGAGTGGAAGTGCTCAGCTGTGGAGCCTGGGGAGCAGGAGGCCGAGGCTGAGGAGGTGGAGGTGGTAGCACCATGATGATGCCCTGCCTGGGCCCCGTTACTCCCTGAGCAGGCCGAGGACGGGCTCTTCACAGTGGATGACCGGGGCGACCGGGTGTTGGATTGGGGCAGGAGGCCTGGATACGGTTTGGCTCCGTAGCTCTCCAGCAGCCTGACGATGGTGAAGTGGCCCCTCTTCCCGGCCACCTTGACGGGGCTGCGGCCGTACTTGTCTATGTGGTCTGGGTTGGCCCCTCTCTCCAGCAGCATGGCCACGATGTTGGCGTGGCCCTCCTGAGCCGCGATGCTCAGTGCCGTGGCCCCCTGCTGGCGGCAGGCCAGATCCACGTTGACCCCCCTGACCTCCAGGAGCAGATGACCAGGCTCCACATGACCCCGCCAGGCTATAGAGTGCAGGGGGGGTCGTCCCTCCCCGTCCTGGGCGTTAGGGTCCGCCCCATGGCTCAACAGCAGCCCCACCGCCTCCAGCTTGCCCTGCCAGGAGGCCACGTGAAGCGCCGTGCGCCCCTCCCCGTCCCGGGACTCCAGGGGCACGCCCCCTTTCTCCATGAGGAGGGCAGCCATGTCCAGATGGCCCTCCAGCACCAGGAGGTAGAGCAGCGGGCGGCCCTCTGCGTCCCGTACGTCCGTGTCCGTGCCCCGCCTCATCAGTAGCTCCACCACCTCAACGTGGCCCTCCAGGGCGGCGGCGCTCAGCGCAGAGTGGCCGTCGTACGCCCGGTGGTCAATGAGCGAACGGCGGTCCAGCAGCAGCCTCACCGTGCCACTGTGGCCCTCCTGCGCGGCCAAGATGAGGGGCGTTCGTCCCTCGATGTCCATCTCTCCGACCCGCGCCATGCTCCCACGCTCCGTCAGGACGGCACAGACCCCCCGGTGGCCCTCGCAGGCGGCGGCGTGCAGCGGGGTCCAGCCCAGATCGTCTTTATGGTTCTCATCCAGCCCTCGGTCCAGGAGAGCTCTGACCACCTCCACGCTGCCCCGTGCTGCTGCCAGGCTCAGAGCTGTACGACCCTCCCCGTCGATGCCATCCACCGCCGCGCCCCAGAACAGCACCCTGCCCACTGTCGCAGAATGGCCCATGGCGGCAGCCGCCAACAGAGGGGTGACGGCAGCAGAGGCAGAGGCGGCATTTGGCCCGGCACACTCGTCTACGTCGGCCCCGGCCTCTAACAACAGCTCTACCACCTCCTCATGACCTTCATACGCCGCCAGCAGCAGAGGGCTCATCCCATCCCGGTCCCTGTGCCCTGGGTCCGCCCCTCGCTCCAAGAGCAGGCTGGCCACGTCTCCGTAACCTTTGACTCCAGCCTCTGTGGGCACACAGAGGGCAGCCACTGACAGGGCAGTACGTCCGTCTCCATCGGCCAGGTCGACCTCTGCCCCGTGGTCCAGCAGGATCTCTACCGCCTCCCGATGGCCCATGTAGGCGGCGGCGATCAGCGGCGTGCGGCCCTCCCGGTCGACCTTGTCCACCTGCGCCCCATGGTCCAGCAGCGTGAGGAGGATCTCCTCGTGACCCCCCCAGGCCGCCGCCCTTAGCGCCGACCGGCCTTCAGCATCACACCCGTCCACGTCTGCCCCCGCATCCAAGAGGAGGTACACGGCCTCGGTGTGACCCCCCCAGGCCGCTGACCGTAAGGCCGTCCAGCCCTCGCTGTCTGCATGCTCCACCATACCCACGGCGGCCTCCGGCTCCTGACCCCTGGCCCAGTCCAGCAGCATCCCCAGCACCCTGACATGGCCCTGCCTCGCAGACAGCGTTAGGGGGGTCTGGCCCTGGTGGTCACTGATCAGAGGGTCAGCCCCTCGGGAAAGGAGTAGGTCGATCACGTCGGCTGAGCCTGCTTGGGCCGCACTGGCCAGGAGGGTGCGTCCGTCTGTGGGGTCGGTCCGGTTCACGCTGACCCCGCTGTCCAGTAGCACCCTCACTGAGTCCTGCCTCTCCAGCGCCTGCCCGATGATGGTCCCCCCTCCTCCTGCACAGTGTACCCCCACGCTGGGGCCTCCATCTGGGGCACAGGAGGGAGGGAACACCCCACTCTTCATCAGCAGCTGGAGGACCTCCTGCCTGACCAGGACAGGGGGCTGAGAGGCAGGGTAAGAGGAGCTAGCCAGAGGGGGCACGTCAGCCCACAACAGCCACAGGGCCAGGAGGGCAGGGTTGTCCTTGTGCATGCCTGAGCTGACCAGGTGCGAGCCCAGCTGACAGGTGTCCTCTGTGTTAAGGTGTGGGGCGCGTAGGGTGAGAGCCATGGCCAGCATGGTGTGACCCTCAGACACGCTACACAGATACTTCTGGGTGCAGTACTTGACGTCCGTCAGCCACTCTGCAAAACTAGTGTGGAACAGGAGCTTTCTGCCTCCCAGGCCGTCGATGAGCAGCGTGGACAGAGCCTGTAGCCTGCTCTGGAAGTCCAGAGGGCTGAGGGACATGTCCTGGGTCCAGGTGGCGGTGTAGATCTCCTGGGTGGTGAGGGGCCTAGGGGAGGCCAGGAGGGTGTTGAGGAGGGGCCTGACCTGGAGGAACAGGCCCCTGGGGAAGAGTCTCTGACAGAGCCACAAGTAGAGGCCGTTGAGGGTCCCGGGGATGTCCCGGATCTCCCGGAGCCCCACCAGGGCCCCCGCCACGCCGTCTAGAACGCGTTCCAGGAACAGGAAGCAGCCACCACTCTTGATGTGCAGCAGGTTGAGCATGTCGGCCGTCTCGGGGGTCAGCTGTCGGCGGAGCGCCCCCTCCTGGTCCAGCCTCCTCAGGATATAGTGCTGCACGTCACGCACCGGCGCCGGCTTACGCAGATCGTCCAGACACAGCTTACGGAAACCTACCGAGAGGAGAGAGGAGAGGAGAGGGAGAGGAGAGGAGAGGAGAGGGAGAGAGGGAGAGGGAGAGAGACAGAGACAGAGGAAGAGAGGAGAGGGAGAGAGACGAGAGAGAAGAGATAGATAGAGGAGAGAGAGGAGAGGAAGGAGAGGATAGCAGCTCTCTCTTCTCTGCATTTGCTCTTCTATCCTAGGGAGATTGGGCCCAGAAGGACAGAGAAGAGAGAAACTGTCACTTAATGTAACTTTCGAACAAACATTAGCTACTTCAGGAAGAGGTATTGGACTGTAGAAACAGACATATAATGTGTGTGGTCACAGCATTCAACTCCAGTCAGGCCGGAGGGATATCTAGAATGATATCCGTATACTGGCAGTGGATTCACTGTTGGTGCCAGAGAGATATTTACTGGTGTTAAGCAGCTCGCAGGCAGGCAGCTCTGTTGTCAGTGTGTTTGCGAGATGCCAGATAAAATACAATTTTAAAAAAGCGTCCTGCGACTCCCGCCGTGTCTACAGACATCCCCCTCAAACAAACAAAAAACTGAGTGCACAACCGTTAAATAGTAGCTATGGGGAAACAAAGCTTCCGGAAGCATTGAGGCTTTCCAATCTATTGTGTGGAAAATAGGTTAATTACTAGAGGCCTTGATCAACACAGTGAACACTAGTGGCATCTGCTGATCAAAATTATTTATAGCATCCATTATTATAGATGACGTCCCATACGTTTTGTCGCTGATGCTACGTGTCAGTGTGAATCATGTCTCATATTTTCCCCCTTTCAGGGGGTACAACATTACAACTGTATAGCTAATAAGCTATGTGTTTGTAGATGGACTGGAGGTGAAATGAAACTACAGCAGCCAAGGTCATAATGGCTGGGGTCATTTTTGATTGTTTTTTGTTGTTCTCCAAATAGCATTTTAAAAGTTTTTATTAATTGTATAAAAATGCTGTAAATGAGCTTCAACTTTTAAACACGTTCACAGTAAACAAACATGTTAGGCCCTGTTTTGGCAACAGATGACCAAGCAAGAATGGCGGTGGACAACTTCATTTCATGTTTACAAAAGGCCAGTAAAAAAAACTAATTCAACCGGTCTGGATAGCAGCCTGAAGTGGTGTCTGCTCATCTAAACCCGAGAGGAGTGAAGAAGAGTTACAGCAGAGGAGCTGAGTCATTCCAGACATACCTGAGAACATCTTACACACAGCCTTGTTCTGTCTGCGTACAGAGCAGACCAGGAGCAGCCAGCTGGGCAGGAGGTGCTGGTGACTGGACAGGAGCTCCGAGATGGAGCTGCTCCTCCCTGGGGCCCCAACGCTGCTGGACACCTCGCCGGCCCCATACCCAGAGTCCAGGGAGTCTACCACCAGGAACAGGGACTGCCCTGGGGCAGGGAGGTCCAGCAAGGGTAACAACACCGCTCTAGAGAGAGAGAGAGAGAGAGAGAGAGAGAGAGAGAGAGAGAGAGAGAGAGAGAGAGAAGAGAGAGAGAGAGAGAGAGAGAGAGAGAGGAGAGAGAGAGAGAAGAGAGAGAGAGAGAGAGAGAGAATGAAAGACAGAGAGAGAGAGGAGTCATGTAGGAGGAATGTAGTTGGTATTTCATCACACATGGAACATGAACAGACCCAATAGCTGCATTCAGTATATGGACATCATTACAGCATTCAGTATATGGACATCATTACAGCATTCAGTATATGGACATCATTACAGCATTCAGTATATGGACATCATTACAGCATTCAGTATATGGACATCATTACAGCATTCAGTATATGGACATCATTACAGCATTCAGTGACTGAACAGGAATGTCATTGATTTGATTGAAGCTACAGTAATTAAACATGATGAAGGCTGCAGAATGGAAGATGTCTGAAAAACGTAGAGCAGAAATGTCAAGGGGTTTTCTGAGGAAATAGTTTCTACATTCACCAGCGTGGGTGTTAGCTCTATCCTGCTCAGGCAAGCATTTCAGCCCGCTCTCCCTGGTTCAGCTCCCTCACCCTCTCTCACTCCCTAACCCTGTGTCCTCAGGGTGGAGAGTGATACTGTTATTTTTGACCTAAAGAAGCTTACACACATACACACACACGACTCTAGTTAGGGCCTTCCAACAGAGGATGCTGCTATCTAGGGAAGTGGGAAAAATCTACCATGGATTCCTTCCCCTTCAAACCCCCCCCCGCGTGGCTTCACCAAACCTAGGCCTTGTAAAAACCATTGCGTAATCCAGGAAGAGTGTGAGTTTAGTTTACTGTGTGTGTGTGAGCAATTTAATGGAGGGTGATGACATTATGGCTGGCGTTGGGAGTTGTTTTAACAGGGTCTCTGTCACCCTGCTAAAAAAACGTAATTAAGTATTAAATGGGACACTTGTAAAGGTTATGTAACGATATAAAGTGTTTAATGGGTTAGGTCTTTGTTTGATAAGACACCACTCAGAGAGACTGGAAGAACAGCCTTGGTCATTCACCACCGTTCAACAATGAATTCACACTCCTACGCTTAAGATGATCTCTTTTTAGAAGGATCCGAAAGGAAGGCGTCAGCTAATGTAAACATACAATATAGCCTGGTGAACACAATTTTAAAAGGTTGCAGTCCTTTTTTTTCATAACTGAATGATACACTCAGCTTGAGTTTATGTAAAAGCACTTAGTGCCTTTTAAGAGACGGGATTTAAAAGTGAACGCTCCGGTCCAAAACTTCTTGGTCACAAGCTTATCACAAGTTTGTGTGCCTTAATAATATGATAACAGGGAAGGACACACCTTTGTGTGCGTGTGTGTGTGTGTGTGTGTGTGTGTGCGTGTGTGTGCGTGTGTGTGTGTGTGTGTCTCGAGCACATGCTGTGTATGCCCAGAACCACATTAACGGCCCTTTAATTGACTCAGGGTTTCCTGCTCCATCCTGTCCTCATGGTCCTGGCCGCAGGCTGATCTTTGACTCTCTCAGCCCTGCTGTAATTGGACACGCTGTGGTGAAGAGGCTGACAACACCGGCCCTGTGAGCCCTAATTGGTCCAAAGTTTTGGAGAAATGGTTTAAAACAGACAAGCCTTTTAGCTACGGGCCAAGCCTTGCGGAACAGCAATTAGATACGACTAGAGAGAATAGCCTTGTGGTTTAAAGGACGGTTAAGGTCACCCTCTACGAGGGAATATGGTGATAAGAAAGTAAAAAGTAATTCCCTAGAGGTGGTTAGGTCCACTAGCCACTGTTGATTGTTGACAGTGTAAGCTAAGCGGTTATAAAAGTGTTAAGGACTCTAATGGATACAGCTAGCATCTGTTCAAATCTAAGGATCCTCTGTATATGCGTTCACCGCCACTCCAAGCTCGTGTTTCCTCTGTTTGTTCGAACCGCTGTTTAGTGTTCACTTGACAGTGGCTCAAACCGCAGCCACTTTCTTTCACTCAGGCTCCAAAAACACACACAGCTCCCTCCAGGCTCTGGGTCAGTCCGAGGGCAATGTGGAATGTAGCCCTATACTTCACACCAGAGACACAGCAAACAGAGGGAGAGAGCGAGAGCGTTCCTCCACAACCAACCGTCAACGTGACAGCAGCAGACAGACAGAGGGTCCTCGTGAGAATGGAGACCTCACCAAGCGGTACCAACGACTGCGTCTCTGCGACTCGAGGGACACATTTTTCACGTCTTTGTCCTTGTTTCTAAAAAGGACGTGTCATAAATAGCGTTGTGGCGTTCCTTCAGACTGGAGGTCGATTGTGAGAGAGCTGAATGGCTTGTTTTATGAAATAAATGAGTATTTTAAACCAAGGAAGACAATCGCTAGCTTTTCCCTGAGGCTCTTTTGGCCTTCTTTGTTTGACTGAACAGCATTTGCAGTGACAGGCAGTTAGAAATATGCCTACAGTGTAAATGGAATCTGAATGTTAATGGAAACTCACTGTTACCTGTAAGAAGTAGTCAAGGACAGTTAGCTTGGAGACTGGTCTGCTTGGTGATGGTGTCACTTCCCTTCCAAATGCATTATGCTACTACGACTATTCATATATATATAGCTCCAGCAGGTATATCTCACTGGTCATCCCCAAAGCCAACACCTCCTTTGGCCGCAATTCCTTCCAGTTCTCTGCTGCCAATGACTGGAACGAACTGCAAAAATCTCTGAAGCTGGAGACACTTATCTCCCTCACTAACTTTAAGCATCAGTTGTCAGAGCACCTTACCGATCACTGCACCTGTACACAGCCCATCTGAAATTAGCCCGCCCAACTACCTCATCCCTATATTGTTATTTATTTTGCTAATTTGTACCCCAGTATCCCTATTTGCACATCATCTCTTGCACATCTATCATTCCAGTGTTAATACTAATTGTAATTATTTTGCACTATAGCCTATTTTATTGCCTTACCTCCATAACTTGCTACATTTGCACACACTGTATATATATATGTATTTCTGTTGTATTTTTGACTTTGTTTTGTTTTACCCCATATGTAACTCTGTGTTGTTGTTTTTATCACACTGCTTTGCTTTATCTTGGCCAGGTCGCAGTTGTAAATGAGAACTTGTTCTCAACTGGTTTACCTGGTTAAATAAAGGTGAAATAAAAAATAAAATAAAAAATATGCTACTGTGAAAGTGTGACTAATGTAAAAAAAATCAAACAATGCATTTAACAAATGTCATATCCACTGCAGACAGAATGTACTGAATTCACATCAGAGCAAATCACAAAGCTGTCTAGATAAGTTGGTGAAGATGGGAGTAGTAGAGGGGGCATAAAGAGTACAGACCTTTTGAAGGTGTCGTCCGGGTCCCTCTGGCAGTGCAGGGGCTCCAGGGCGGGAGCCACCAAGGGGGTGTCCAGTGTGTCCCTGTACCCCAGGGGGAGGAGGGGGCTGGCCCTCAGCTGATCCACCAGGCCCAGGACAAACCTCCACACCGCCACGCTCCTCCCGTCCTCCCGCTGGCAGAAGTGAAATGCCAGGCAGCGGGGTGCCAGCCCGACCCCCAGCCCTGCGTCCGAGGTGGGCCATACTGCCTCCGTGCATAGGGCTGTCTTCCCTGCCCCGGGACCCCCAGTCACCAGGATCCCCGGGGGCCGGCCGGGAGCGGGCCTGGCCTCCAGACAGCGCCGGAGCTTTTCCAGGGCCCATTCCCTACAGTAGAAGCGGCGGCCCCGGAGCAGGCTAGTGCTATGGCTGCTACCACTCATCGGGCCCCTGGGAACCAACCAGGAGTCACTCCACCGCGGGTCCCACGTCCCATACTCCCCAGCGCCTCTTATATAGTTTCTCTTTTGATTTGAATGGACTACACAACACTTTTGGTAGCTCTGGCGGTGACAGGGTACTGTCCTGAAAGTTCTGCGTCAGATGTTATGATCTGGTGGCTCCTCCAGATACCATCATAGTCTCTTAATCCTTCCCAGTGGTCTGTAGTTAACTTGGATTAGTCCTCTGGACACTCAGGTGTGTGGAGAGAGAGATCCTGTCATCTCTCCACAGGTTCCTCCAGCCAATCAGTGAGTCTCTGCCGTCTCAACCTGGTCCTCAGGTTAGAAATACAAGGAAAAGGACCACGAATAGAATGGAGATGCTGCTTCTACACAACTCCAGTACTGACACGGTCCCTCACACTGCTCCTGTCCTCTGTCTGAGAGAGAAAAAAAGAGAGACACACAGAGAGTGAGAAGAGAGTGAGATTGCCACGAGGGCTCACTTAACAACAGATAAAATCTCCTTGTTATCTCTCTCCTGCCTCCCTAACATAACATGCTACCTATATCTTCAACATCTGCTGCTGATTCCTGACAGTCCTGCTTTATCGCTTTTCTTTTCTTCCAATTGTCTCAAAGTTTCTTACGAGTCTCTCTGTACAGCTCATATGGAATTCCCTCTCTTTAAACGACAAACTATAGCGCCTATAAACCTGAGAGACACAAAAATCTTCCCCAAGAGCAAGAAAAAAGAAACGCAGACGAAAAAAAGAAGAGAGAAAAAAGAGAAAGAGCGAAGAGAAGGCAGAGAAGAGAAAGAGAAAATAAATGAAAGACAGAAAAGAATAGAAAGCAGACAAGAATATACCGAAATCTCTCTCTCTCTTATCTCTCTCCCCACCGTCCCCCCTCTCCCTCCCCCTCCCCCCCCCCTCTTCCTCTCAGCTGCTCTCCGGTTTTTCTTGTCCTCTTGTTTTTGGCTCCTCCCCGTTTCTCAGCATGTCAGGGCATGTATTGAAGCAGAGGCATTTAAACTGTGAGTCAGAGAGAGAATGAGTGAGTGAGAGAGAGAGAGAAAAAAAGAAGACAGAATAAGGAACGCGAGGATTCAAGAGAGGAGGAGTTGGACGGCTTGTTTTTGGGGTCAAAGTTCATCCACAGCAGCATGCTTTAACTGAGGCTCACACCCCTCCTGGGTCCATCCTGTCCTGGGTCTGGGAGGGAGGGAGGGAGGGAGGGAGGAGCTCCAGCACTCCTGTCTAAATACTCCTCACATGGTCATTATTAAACAGATGTGATAAAAACAGGACCCTGCTGCTGACGTTACTGCTGGAACCAGGAAGGAATGCAACTAAAGAATAAATCCAACCTTCTTCAGTCGCTGACAAAGCCCCTTTATAAAGCCCCTTTATGATGAATTTATTGCAACAACAACAAAAAAAAGGGGGCACTGATGCTGACTGAGCTTAAAAATAAATGGAGAGGAAAGCATGCAAGGCTCAGAGAGGTGTTTCAAATAGGCTACTTTCAAGTTGGCCACATATATAGGCTGGTATTGTATCACTATGTGAACTATCTATGAGGTAATGTCAAAATACATTCTCTGTGACATCCAGAGAATCTAGGGTTTTCAAAGCCCTCTGTGAAGAAATAACTACGGTAGTCTATGGCCAGGGTGAGGAAGTAACAGATGTTCAAAGCATTTATTTTTTCAACTGGAAGCAATGAGCCCAATCGGTCCTCCATGACAGCAGCATCATAAACAACAGGGTAGGCTAATAAGTCATTCGTTTTTTGGGGTTATGCTTCAGGTAAAACAATTAGGCTAATCTATATTTTCATATTTCCAAAACCTATTCTTGAAGATCAAGGGGTATTACATTAATTGGAATGACTGGAAATCTGACAGACTTTGGTTTTTAATTTAAAGATATAGCCTAATCGTATTATTATCTGTAGTAGAAAGCAATGGGTTAGAACATAACAAACTCATAAAGTTAAATGCAACATTCATTTATGGGCAGCTATGTCAACTCTAACATTGATTTATCCTGCAATAGATGTCTTTCAATTGGTAATATAAATTTTTTGTCTTCTTCTAAAGCCTCTTAAGGGGAAAGTAATCATATTACATTACTGAGTTTCGCTAATCCAAAAAGTTGTTACTGATTACCATTTCGGACAGTTAACTAGTAACTAACAGATTACATTTAGAAAGTAACCTACCCTGTCTATGGCAGAACATCCACTAGTCCATGTATCACTTCAGTCAATCAATCCATCTAAAATCCATGCATCGAATCAATACGTGAACCAATAGATCAAATCAGTCTTGTAGGAACGGCAGGTAGCTTAGTGGTTAAGAGCGTTGTGCCAGTAACCGAAAGGTCGCTGGTTCTAATCCCCGAGCCGACTAGATGAAAAATCTGCCGATGTGCCCTTGAGCAAGGCACTTAACCCTAATTGCTCATGTAAGTCGCTCTGGATAAGAGCGTCTGCTAAATGACTAAAATGTAAATGTGGTCCTGTGGTGGAAGGAACCGTTAGGTACCTGATATGGTAACAGCCGTCCTAGTCTAAAGGGCCATCTTGGGAACTGCCTGCCATTAGACTGACGTGGAGAAATTCCTGTTGTTTTTCTTGGACTTTACACAACCCCGCTATTTCTAGTGTCCGTTTCTCTCCTGCTCGTCAACGACACACGGTCCCGTTCAACTGAGGTAACTGATGGATGCTGTAAGCAAAACCCCACAAACTATAAAAAATATTCCTTACCCCAGGACTTACGGGTCTTCGCAAAAAAAAAAAAGCCTCCTTCACTCATGCTGCCAAACATGCCCTCGTAAAACTGACTATCCTACCGATCCCTCACTGACTTTAAGCGTCAGTTGTCAGAGCAGCTTACCGATCACTGCACCTGTACACAGCCCATCTGTAATTAGTCCACCCAACTACCTCATCCCCATATTGTTATTTACATTGTTATTTATTTTGCTCATTTGCACCCCAGTATCTCTATTTGCACATCATCTTCTGCACATCTATCATTCCAGTGTTAATACTAAATTGCAATTATTTTGCACTATGGCCTATTTATTGCCTTACCTCCATAACTTACTACATTTGCACACACTGTATATATATTTTCTATTGTGTTATTGACTGTACGTTTTGTTTTACCCCATATGTAACTCTGTGTTGTTGTTGTTTTAAAATCTCACTGCTTTGCTTTATCTTGGCCAGGTCGCAGTTGTAAATGAGAACTTGTTCTCAACTGGCTTACCTGGTTAAATAAAGGTGAAATAAATAAATAAAATAACGGGTGACTATACATGAAAAAATAAAAAGGAGATCTCGGTTTCTGCTTTGAGCTGAGTATTTACTGCAAAAAGCTGAGGGCTTGGACTTCGAATGATAAACCCTTGAATCCAGATGCGTTAGGCACCCCAAAAATCTGAAGGTGCACAATGTTCGTTTCGGATGGCTGGGGGGCGTTCCGGAGGGCCCCCCGGTCCTTAAGTTGGGAGAATGTTGCATTTTTCAAAACACCTGAAACCGTTTTTTTTCCTGCAATCTAGAGCCATAATCAATATGCTTAATTGTATGCACAAGTTTTTTCTGTATATCTCAGCATACCTTCTAGCTGGCTGTATCCTCCTGACTGGTGCTTCTTTTTTTTTTTTAAGAAACTAAATATGCTTCTCTGAATCGCCACTAAAATCTGGGAAAAAGATAGAAAGGAATGTGAGTCCTATTCAGTGTATTTAGTTATTGCTTGCTTTTCTAAAAGTCTACCAACCTTGCCAGCAGTCATGCCAGCTAAGACAGTTAGATAAGCTAGCTACTCTAACTTAATTGTTAGCCTGAAATGGCTTTTTGGTAGCTAGTTATGAGGATGGGGGGGGGGGGGGGGGGGGGGGGGGGGGGGGGTTGGTAACCTATCTGGGATAGCTAAAGCCAACTCCATAACATTCTCAAGTGGCTAGTAGTAGTTTATGACATTATTATTATTATTATTATTTTTCTTTAATAAAAAGAATAAACAGGACATAGCTGAGGGGGCATGTGTCCTTGTGTCCCATATGTGCATGACTGCTGGAATCAAGCATTTTTTTTTTGTTAACACTGGTGGAGAGGATGGCTCATAGTAATGGCCGGAACGGAGTAAACTGAATGGCATCAAGCACATGGAATGGAAACCAAGGAAACCATGTGTTTGATGTATTTGATACCATTCCACTAAATCCGCTCCAGCCATTACCGTGAGCCCATCCTCCCCAATTAAAAAGGTGCCACAAACGTCCTGTGTGTTACACATAGCATATGCTAGGAAATTAAAGATATCATTTCAATTTTGAAATGCCTTTCTTTTATGGCCGTTGGGCTACATGTGTCATTTTATTGGCTTGTAAATAGGTTACAACCATTCGTGAAGCTGTTGTAAATGTAGCTTTCCAACATCAGGCTAGTCTGACGGCATCAAAGGGGACCCATCTGTACCGTTGCGCCCAGGGCACGGGTTTTCACCAGTTACTACAGCCACAAAGTCAAAATTGGCAATATCATAATTTCTGAAAACAAAGGTTAGGCATAAGGTTAGCAGTGTGGTTAAGGTTAGGTTTAAAATCAGAATTTTAAAAAGGGGAAATTTGTAGAAATGGGCGGGGTTTATGACTTTGTGGCTGTGGGAACTAGTGACCTCGGGCACGTTCCCGACACTCAAAGGCAATCAATCCCCCAATGTGACGCCTCCCAAGGACCGGGCAAGCCAGCAGCGCAGACGGACGGTTAGTTGGAAAATACCTTTGGCAGCAGGCTACAGGTGCGTGCCGCATCAACTGCCGGGCCGTGCTGACATCGCTGTTGTTGGGGCTATCATACCGATTCTCGACACTCCTGCAAACTCGCCAGCTCACACACATAATTCATTGATTCTGGGTAGCCTAACCTCATGAAATTACAAAGAGAAAGAAAGACTTTCACAGACCGACCTCAGT